CGTGGCCACGCATTTTCACAGTCCGATTTCCACGAGGGGCCCAGCGACATCTCTCCTGCGTAGGAGGTGACAAGTCCCGTATTGCATGTCTACTATCTGCATATGATTCATGAACGTATCTGAGCAACGCCGTTATGATCATCCGGTTAAAGACGACGTTTGACGCAGTCAAGACACGTCACTCCTCATATCAGATACTCTAGACATCTCAGGTCTGAGGATCCAAGAACGAACCGCTGTATGAGATTCAAGTCATGACTCGTGTCCATGTGACAATCTCATGCGGGTCATCCAGTAACTCGTTCCAAACGAGAACCCATGATTGTGACTTGCATCTAATGCATATGATCATAATCATCTATCACACATCATGCTGGTCTTAATTCATCATTGTTCCCACAATGATAACTGACCAGGAAATTTAGAATCATCTGCAATGATTCAAGGATATTTACCGTAATATAACAAACATGCAAATCATATAACGGGAATAGTAATGCATTCATAAATCAATGAATCAATACAAAGTCAAAATGTCATATCACGGATCATCCTAGAGCATCACAACCAACAGACCGATCGGTTCAGACGTAGACCGATCGGTCCAGAGGCCTAGACCGATCGGTCCAAAGGCAAAAGCTCCAGACCGATCAGTCCAGACGTCGGGATTTCCTTAACTCACTCAAATTAGAGTTTTAAGGGTAAGAAACTTTGGAGAACGCCTCCTAAGCTCTTTGACACGATTTTCAGACCTTTTTGAGAGGTTTTTGAGAGTGAAAAACCTAAAGTAAGATCCCTGAAACCCTTTCGTAAAGAAGAACGTGTTCTTCAGTCCTTGCAGACGAGTTCCAACTGTTGGAATCCTTTCCGCTGTATGGATACGTGTAGAGGGCGAGGTATTCTTCCTGCCTTTCGTGATCGGACGAACTCTTCGATTGATACATGCCCATGATAAATTGAGGTAAGCGTTCTAACGTCTCTACAAGATCATGCATGCTAGGTTTTAGGGTTTCATAAAAAATTTTGTTTTACATCCACTGCGCAAACCCTGGAACCGATCTCTTAGGAATTAGATTCACTGTAGAGATCTCAGGAATCCCAACAATTTGATCGGACCGGAGAATAAAAGAATAACATGAACATAATAGAACCTGAATACCAGAACAATAAGTAAAGACGTATGTATGCATGATTAAAATGAGATTCTTGTATGAGAGTTTGTGATTGGGGATCCGGGTAGCTGGCATGGCGTGAGACATTACTTCGGAGGGTCGGAGTAACATCGAGCGTGTGTTTGTAGCTAGGGTTGAGGTGATATCCCGATGATTGCGTTGTTTGAGATCTCCTCTTTATGATCCCCGATCCGGGTCAAGTTTCATATTGAGGAGACGTGATTGTGATTGATCGTCTACGGGCAGAGCTTGGAGCTGGTGATGCACGTGGTAGTCTTGAGTGATTCGGCTATCATGGGTTGAGAAAATCTTACAGTTACTCTGTGACCGCACCGACGTTCCACTTGCTATGGAACAGGTTCGGGAGTGATTCCCGGCAGAGACTGGCACACATTTACCCGTGACTCGGGATTGAGAGATTCTCCCGATGACGTTATGTAGAAATACTCTGAAAGACCTGGGTTCGGGTCTGATGAGCTTTTCCGTGGCGGATGGCCGGCGAGAGATTGTCAGTTGATGACTGACTTTGCTCGACATAGTCGGTGGTGGCCTGGAGGAGGCACCTAGCGCTCTGGTATCGAGAGGTGATATCGATATCAGAGGAGATGGTTGGTGTGATATGTTTTTATGTAGTGTTGTGTTGGGGGTCTCCATCACTATGGGTTCCTAGCATGCGATCTCATCGATCTAGGGTTTGGTTTCTAGGTTTCATGCTGCGGAAGAAAAGAAAATTCTAAACCTAGCCAAACGTCATACAAAACCAATTTTGTGCAATAACCCATAAGAACGTGTATATCACCGTGGGAATCGTTACTTACCTCGATCTCAATGAAACTTGAAGCAAATACCGATCCGGAGCCTGTTTTTAATCACCTAGGACTGAAGTTATAGTCCCTCTACAGTATCCACATCGACGGGAAGGATTCCAAACCGTTTGGAACGTATTTGCTAGGATTTGTGAAGAGAAAACGACGTCCTCAACTTACAATCAATATTCCAGAGTTTAGAACTCTGAATAAAGCTTCTCTAAGCCTCTAGAAAGAGTTTAGGATGTCTGAGGATGATTGCTTAGGGTTTGGGGCGGCTCCCATAACAAAGAGGATTGCCAAAACCCTAAAATTCGCGAAAAAGGAAACGTTACGACGCCTAGACCGATCGGTCTACACCTAGACCGATCGGTCTAGATATTCGCTTAGACCGACCTCCTGAGCTTCACGTAGACCGATCGATCTACGTCCTAGACCGATCGGTCTTCATGTCTGGAATTTTTCCAGCTCATTCCGTCTACACTGATCGGTCCAAGCTACGTGTAGACCGATCGGTCTACGTCCTAGACCGATCGGTCTGCACGTCTGGAACTCTTCTAGCTCGTTCCGTCATTCCGATTCGCATCATACTCTCTACATGTGATCTATCCCTAATGGTGTGTGACCCTGTAGGCCCATTCTAAGTGGTAGTGACTTCGGGAACCCTTTCCCGAACCACAAGTCATGGTTAGCCTCTAGCAAGACACCATGACCACCCACCTAGAATAGAGTTAGAGGTGATCTAACAAAGCCAGCAATAGTTCGAGTTCTGATCCTTTGTCTCACGATGTCGTATGTTGAACAAGGGCATGGTTCGAGCCACCCTTCAAGTTCAACCGCTTACTCGTCTAGGCAAACCGACTGATAAAATAGATGTACATTCATCTATAGCGTGGCCACGCATTTTCACAGTCCGATTTCCACGAGGGGCCCAGCGACATCTCTCCTGCGTAGGAGGTGACAAGTCCCGTATTGCATGTCTACTATCTGCATATGATTCGTGAACGTATCTGAGCAACGCCGTTATGATCATCCGGTTAAAGACGACGTTTGACGCAGTCAAGACACGTCACTCCTCATATCAGATACTCTAGACATCTCAGGTCTGAGGATCCAAGAACGAACCGCTGTATGAGATTCAAGTCATGACTCATGTCCATGTGACAATCTCATGCGGGTCATCCAGTAACTCGTTCCAAACGAGAACCCATGATTGTGACTTGCATCTAATGCATATGATCATAATCATCTATCACACATCATGCTGGTCTTAATTCATCATTGTTCCCACAATGATAACTGACCAGGGAATTTAGAATCATCTGCAATGATTCAAGGATATTTACCGTAATATAACAAACATGCTAATCATATAACGGGAAAAGTAATGCATTCATAAATCAATGAATCAATACAAAGTCAAAATGTCATATCACGGATCATCCTAGAGCATCACAACCAACATATCCACTACAGCTTTTACATGGCCGGTCGTAAAAAAAAAAAAGAAACATATAAAAAAATTATAAAATTATAAAAAATATAATTTTTAAAATTATCATGGTACTTTTAAACTATTTTTTATATATAATTATCAATAAAAATTTAAATACACAAATTCAAATAAATTTCACTATTTACATAAATATCCAATACTAACAACAACATACCCAGATGAAAATGAGAGTCTTAGTGTAAAACGATCATAATCTATCAAAATGGTTTCGAAACCATAAAGTGAGTAAAGAATTATTAGTATTTCCCTAAGTGTTTAAGATTATGCATGATGATGATCCATTATGATTATTCAGGATTCCACTTATATATATATATATATCGTGTATATATGTATGAATATTTGCAATTTTTCCTGATGTGAAATATTTGATGACGTGGCAATTTTTCTAGTCATAGTTGGGATTAAACCTTTGTTGCTGTATAATTTTTGTTGGTATATATTATAGAACATCACCGAACTATCCGATTTTGATGTAACGGATCAAGTACACAATTGCTCCTCCACCCCCTTGAATCCCTAAAAAAAAGGTATACACCTGGCTTTGTATTTACAATGATTTGGGTTATGGGTTTTTTTATGCTCCAACTCATGAAGAAAATATCGGATTTCGGATCTAAATATATCGGTTCGAAAAAATTTGGATTTTCAAATCGATTGGATTTTGGATCGATCATAAAACTCAATTTTTCAAAAAAAAATTAATAAAAAATAAAAAAAATTACAAAGAAAAAGTAGGGTGGATCAGTTCCGATCTAACTCGATCCGAATACGAAATTTATAGGACTGGATTTCAGATTTGGTTGTTTAAACCCGGAAAAAATTGATCCAACTGAATTCGAATACAAAACCTTTGGGCCGAATATGAACTCAGGTCGGATCGGTCTAATTGATACCCTAATTTGAGTTTTCAAATTTTTAGATAGTCGGATATTTCTGTCCAACCATACATAACTCGAATAAAATGTGTGAAGATAAATAAATTAGTTATCTCTTTTACGAATTTTATTGTACTAATACTACTAATGAGAAACTCATTTTTTTAATATGACAATTGGTAAATTGCAACTTCTTGCTTCTATCAATAAAATAAAATTTATCAAAAAATAATTGTGGCATAGTTTGACAGAATTCTATACCTATATTTGATTTTTACCCGTTGCTGTCCATGCACAAGTCCATAATCTATAATTTTCAGTGGACTGTATCTCTTGGAAGAAATGGTCAGAACATATAATTTAATTTATCATTTTATGTCTACTTACCTCATTAAATAATTTAAATCAATTCTACAAAAAAAAAAAAATCAACACTGTAACTATTGAAAAATATTTCCATCATGTTGTCTAGTTTTCTGTTCTGGTTGGTTTAGTAAACTACTATTTTGTTATATATTCAATTTTTGTATGAATTATCTGTCATTTTCTAACAAAAAAAAGTTTTATTTTTCTTTTTTATTTATTTTTTGTTCAGTTACACAATGAAGTGAGGTGTGATGTTGTTTTCATGTACACGTTGCTGCTTGAGAGGAACTGAAACCTCTGGAGAGAAAAATAAACAGAAACAATCTGAGAGCACAAACTCCCCTTCTTCCTCCTCGATTTTCTGCTTCAGTCACCGTCTGATTCCTGTTTTGCGGTACCGTTTCGTTTTTTCATCGTTTCGAAATTCTCTCCCTCGATCTCCTGTCTCCGAGTTCGTCGTTTAAGAAGCAAGTACTTCCTTTTCTGGTCGAAACTCGATCATGCGACCATAGACATAATATTTGTTTTTGCCCGTCTTCTTTCCCTTTTGTCCTCCATTTCTCCAATCTCTGTCTCCTTTCGTTTCAGCCCAGTCGTTACCAAGAAGTGTGGGTCTGCTGCTTGACTCTTGTCTTGGGTCCAAAAATATCCTCTTTCAATTTCCCATTTCAGCATCTTTTTGTAATCTTGTGATCTGGGTTTTGCCCCAAACGCTTTTGTTTCTTGGTGTAAAGTCCAAAATTGCGTCTTTTTCTTAGCCTCTGTTTTCTGCTCTCTTTCTCCACGAGGGGCCCAGCGACATCTCTCCTGCGTAGGAGGTGACAAGTCCCGTATTGCATGTCTACTATCTGCATAT